CAGGAGTTTCAATCATGTAAACAGGGAAGCGACTACGGCAACTGTGAAACTAATCCAGTACTACGGTATCTCTTTTACTTGTAGTAAGAACCACAAGATGGGCCAGCTATGTGTCCCAAAGTTTAACATTATCATTTTCTTGTTTTGTTTTTATTGCTATAATTCGTTGGTGTCAACCTTACATACAATGCATTGTTGTATTTGTACAGCTGTCTATGCTGTGTATTACAATCTTCTTGCATTTAAAAAATTCTAATTATTTCTCATTCCAATCAGCATGCCACATACATGTATACATCATTCAAAGTGATGTTTGAGTACATTTTTTTTTAAATTAAATAATTCAATAAAAGCAGAAAACTGCCTTTCTTCTTGTTATTGTTTACATCAGAAATCGCATGCTAGTTGTATACGACTTTAAAGTCATACGTTTTTGTACATGCTGTGGGTTGTGTACAATAAAAAAAATAGGTTTTGCTTCTCATTTTAGGGGAAAATCAAAAATGATGTGACGACACCGTTTAATTAATTTTCTTTTGGTACTAAGATTATTATGTTTTTGAATACATTCACTCAACATTGTTTCGGAACAAGAAAACATAATGTATAAAAACAAAAACATTTTCCTATTCTACCATAGGTGGCACACTCTTGATATGCAAATATGCAAACAAAATGTGTGAGGTGAAAGTTTCAAAATGACAATGGAGAGTAAAACTTCTTTTCTGTTTTGCTTGACTTTAATTCTCTTTCATGACTACTTTGTGTATTTTACAGGGTGCCTTATCTAGAAGTATGGATGCCAGATTTGATATAATTGATGAAGATTTTCGGGTAAGTTGCCATGGTAACAGTTTTATAATGAATTGATTTATTTTTCATTTTCTAGGGTATAAGGTTTTCCTTTCTTGTGGTTGGTTGTGAAAGTTTGGAAGTTATAAATGAACTATAGAGGGCGCCACAAACCCTCAAGTCATGAGAACATGCCGTAAATAAAATAATTGAATTATCAATTTTACATGTTTTGAAACATTCATTTGAAATATATTTTGAGAATTGACTACTGATTAAGCTTTGGCTTAGCATGAAATCCACGCTCACTGTCCCATTAGGATCTTGTGGCACTTGCATCCTGTTTTAATGTCACTACTGTTAATTTGGCTGAATGAGCAGATTACACCCATTTATATCACTACATGTGATCTGAAGGCATGAATTGATGTGGAAATAACTAACAAAATAGTGTGAAATTGGTAGTCACCAGGCTGGTGGACAAAGCAAAACTTTTTTGATGTATGTTGTGTGTATGATGGCAAGGTGTGTGTTGTTTTCCTTGTACATGTATGAACTTAATTACAATTCTATAAACATTTATAGCAAAGCTAAATAGCCATAATAAGTGAATATAAATTAGTGACATGGTTCACACATAGCACTTGATTCCATTATACTCAACACCTGACCCCCACCCTGATTATTGCAGCATATAAAAATCATTATTTTGATATACATGCAGTATAGACTTAAAAATAAAGTACTGTTACTATAATATTTTATTAACAAATGTTAGTAGATCATTCAAAAGTCAATTTTAATACACCTTTATTTATTTATTTATTTATTTATTTATTTATTTATTTATTTATTTATTTATTTATTTATTTATTTATTTATTTATTTATTTATTTATTTAGGTATTAATTTATTTACCGGTATTTATTTATTTATTGAAACTATATACACTGCCTTCCAATAATAGTACAGTACCATGGTCTCTATCCTACAAACAAATTGATAGTTTTCATAATAAAATAAATTCAGAGAATTTAAGATGAATGTCAATAACACTTTAACTTTT